TATTAAAAGCATAAATCATACGTAGATTTATTCCCTAATCCCAACAGGATCCATTAAGGATACAGATTTATAGTCCTTGTAATTTTATCTCAGGTCTATAACTGCTAGTTCTATTTTTGGCTATATAAATGTGTTACCATTTTTTCTCACTACCACAAAAGTATTTGCTTCAGTGTCTATCAGCCTTGGAATTCCACTTGTATCTTTTGAGATTTGAAACACAAAAGTTTCTTTTATTGACCTTTTAGGGCTTTTAAAAAATATCTACCACTGTTCATTTATTTTTTTGTTTAAATGCTTGTTGTATATTTGAGGCATAAAGCCTGTTTCTCTTTTTCTTTTCCTTTTTTATACTACTTCTGGTGCTGGAATTGAGGACCTCAAGCTCTTGCTAGCTTTGTCATGCAAGACTGGTCCTCTACCACTTGAGCTACGCCTCCACTGCTGGGTCTTTCATTGTTAATTGGAAATAAAAGTCTTTCAGACTTGTCTGCCCAGACTGGCTTCCAGCTGAGATTCTCAGATCTCAGCCTCCTAGGTAGCAAGGATCAAAGGCTCTGAGCACTGGTGCCTGGCTGTCGCATGTTTTGATATATGAACACAGTGAAATGAGCAAATTTACATATTCATCACCCTTTCACAGCTACCTGTTGAATATTTGCAGGTATGTGTGTGTGTGTGTGTGTGTGTGTGTGTGTGTGTGTGTGTGTGTTGAGAACTTAAAATCTGTGTTCAGCAAATTTTCAGTATAGAATACTGTCCATTATACTCCTAGCATTGCATCTTAGAAATTCAATCAGGCTCATCACTCTACCTGATTTCAAATTTATGACCTAAGACCTTCTCCCCATTTCTTCTCTCTTTGTTCATGGCAAACTCTTTGTTCTATTTATTCAACTTTTTATAAATTAAGTCATGCATCTCTTTTACTTCTGTATCTGTCTCATTTCATTTAATAAAAAGTCCTCCAGATTTACCCACTTCACAAATGACCGGTATCTCTTTGTACAGGTTTAAGTTCTATTCTAGACAATAGATAAATACCACAATTGTTCTGTTTACCTGCCAAGCCCACCATGGCTTGGTGCTGAAAAGCCACACAGCAAGGAAGTAGGAGTATGGATTTTCTACTTTCCAGATGAGTGATAATTTAATTCCACTGGCAGTGTAGACCCAACCGAGGGGGTGCTGTGTCTCTGGGACTTCTAGTTCCATGTTGGAGGAACCTCCTGCTGATTTCTGTGCTGTTGGCAAGTCATGTTCCCATCCACAGAATGAAGGTCTGCACAGCCACACTGCTCACCGGGGAGTGTGGCTTCTTGCTTTTATTTTCTATTTTGGCAGTACTGGGGTTTGAACTCAAGGCTTTGACCTTGCTAGTCAAGCACTCTACCATTTGAACCACACCTCTAGTCCCTGACTTTTTGATAATAGCACTCTACAAGGTGTGAAGCGACTCTCACTGTGGTTGTGGTTTGTGTGTCGCGACTGAGAGGTGGGTCTTCAGACTGTGGCTTATCTGGAAAAATATCTGTTCAGACACATTCCTACTCAGGTCATTTGTTGATACAGGCTTGTCTTTAGGAATGCGATGTGTGAGTTGCATAGACATTTTGGATAGTAACCCCTTATTATGTATATTATGACTTGCTATGTTTTGTTGCAACTACAGATGGTCCTTTTCATTCTGCTGATCATTTCTCTTGCTGTACAATGCAGCCCCACTTGTTGGTGCTCTTATAGCTTGAGATTTTGGAGGGACACAAAAAATGTATTATCAAGATCAGCATCTGGAGCTATTCTTCTGTATTTTCTTCTAGGACTAGCATGGTTTATTATTTCTCCTCCTCCTCCTCTTCCTTCTCCTCTTCCTCCTTCTCCTCCTTCCTCCTCCTCCTCCTCTTCTTCTCCTTCTTCTTCTTCTTCTTCCTCTTCCTCCTCCTCCTCTTCTTCTCCTCCTCCTTCTCCTTCTCCTTCTTCTTCTTCTTCCTCTTCTTCTTCTTCTTCCTCTTCCTCCTCCTCCTCCTTCTCCTTCTCCTTCCCTTCTCCTTCTTTTTCTTCATCAGTCATAGGGCTTGAACTTGGAGCCTGGATGCTGTCCCTGAGCTCTTTGGCTCAAGGGTGCACCAGGACCAGCACTCCACATTGAGTGGAGATCGACATGCACACACAAAGGACAGCAGGAGGCTTTCCCTTGCCAGACTGCTTAGGAAATCTCCCGGGTCTGAGTCTGACATAGGTTCTGAGTCCCAGGACTGGAGTATGGATCTTCCTCCAACTGGGACTCAGTATGCAGGAGGATGCCAAACCCTTTGCCCAAAGGCAAACTTCTTAAAATAACACTTAAGAATTCCTCTTCTACATGGACAGTCTGTGGATACTGCCAGTGAACCACAGGACGAGAGCTAGAAAGCCTAGAACGAATTTTGTGGTAGAAATAGATGTGCATGCCTGTGCAGGCACTGGCCTCTCTTTACCTGCGTGTGTTCTGTGGCCTGGGGACGCAGCACTCAGACTCTCCCTGCTCTCCTCCTTGTTGGCTCAGTTCAGCTCCGTGGCACAACTATTTGTGCTGCTTCTAGAACACACCAAAACACACTCCTATCTTAGCACGCCTATGGCCTGCAGTCTTCTCCCCTCCCACCTGTTTCTTCTTTGAGGTTTTGATTCAAACACAGCCCTTGCAATGATGTCTCCTGAACACCCCTCCTGAAAGAGAAGCTGTTGCTGCACCAGCCACCACAACACAGTCCCCAACCAGCTTTGTCTCCTCCATTGCAGGTGTCACCTGACATACAATCATCGTTTGTGTCTCCAGCTACTGCTCCTCCCTTCCTTAGGGTACAGATGCCATAAGAGAAGGAGATTCATTCTGTTGACCACCATCATACCTGTTGCTACAAAGCAGCCCTCAGTAAGCACTTGTCCAATAGCTGGGTGCCCATGGCTCATGCCGATAATCCTAGCTGTCAGGAGGCTGAGGTCTAAGAATTAAGGTCAACCTGGGCAGGAAAAAGTAAAACTCTTATCTCCAACGAGCCAGCAAAAAGCCGGACATGGCGCTATGGCTCAAGTGGTCTAATGTCATCCTTGAGTTAAAGTTCCATGGGTCAGGGCTCGTTAAGTCTCAGCAATGGTACAAAAAAAAAAAGGCAACTTTGAATAAATGAAAGTTGGATGCATCCAAAGAGAATGTTTCCTGGGAATTTCAACTCTCTTAAGTGATCAGGAGACAATTTTTACCAAATTTCAGTTCAGTCTTCTTTGTAATCGAGGATTTGAACTCAGGGCCTCTAGCTTGCCTTCAGAAGCACTCTTGGGCCACCTGCCAGTAGCCTGCTGGGGTTTGGGGAAACCGGAGCCTGTGTCCTGCTCCAGATCAGCCCCGAGCCTCCATCCACCAACTCCAGGCCTCAGGGCCACTGCCCAGGCCCCTTCTGTTGACCTTTCTGTCTGGCCACCTGGAACTGCAGTCCTCCAGCCAGGGCAGGAGAGCATTGGTCTGAGGAGAGTTGTAGGAGCTTTCCTGCCCAGGCTGGCTCTGAACCTTGATCCTTCCCATCCCGGCCTCCAGCATAGCTGGGATAACAAGCATGGCTCATTAGCTCCCAGCCTCGGCCCAGTCTTCTGAGTGAACGTATTGTTGGGCCATGAAAGCACTGGCGTGCATATATTTCATCCTGAAGAAGAATTCCGCATCTTTAACTATTAAACCTTAAGCAGCAGAGAAAGATCTGGAATTATTTTCATCTTCATTTTCCCAACATAATTCATGTAAGGAGCATGGAATCTTGATGCCTGTCCCCAAAGAAGTAAAAAGAGCAAAGAACAAATATCTGAACCAGGCACCAGGGGCTCAAAGTCTGCACACTTACCTACTGAGGAGAGGATCACAGTTCAAAACCAGCCTGGTCAGGAGATTTCATGAAACTCTTATCTCCAATTAAACACCAAAAAGCCAAAAGTAGAGCTGTGGTTCGATTGGTAGAGTGCAAGCCAGCCTTAAGCAATAAAAGCTGAAGGGGAGTGCATAGGCTCTGAGTTCAAGCACCAGAACTGCACGTGTGCATGCCCACACGTACACACACAGAATGAATATTTGTCAAAATAAGATATGTGTGTCTTTAGATCCATAAGCTACACATATATCACACTAAATAAAAGTTGGGCGACATTAGAAACTTCTTACTGATGATTTTCTCTCATATATCCAATTAAAACAGAAAGCAAAATGCTCGACCCTTGTAAATGACCTAGGTATTAACAACGCCAGCTGCACCTTTTATACGAGTCAGATTGGACATGTGTTCTGCTTGCATGTTGTAGCATTTGATTGCTCTTATTCCAGTTCTCCAATTTTTATAGTACTTGATCTTTATGAAGGTTCTGTAAATCCATGCTGAATGTATTCAACATTCTCCTCAGAACACACACACATGCGCACACACACACACACACACACACGTGTGCAAACATGCACTCCTTCGCAAAGCCTTCTTCTCATGTTGCATGTGGTAAGTAATGTATTTTGAGGTCTCTTTGTTAACAAGTACCTGTAGCCAGGTGTCAGTGGGTCACATCTGTAATCCTAGCCAATCAGGAGGCTGAGATCTGAGGCTTGAGGCTCAAAGCCAGCTCTGGCAGAAAAGTCTGTGAAACTCTTATCTCCAATTAACCAGCAAAAAGCCAGAAAAGGAGCTGTGGCTCAAGAGGCAGAATGCCTGCCCATGAGAAAAGCTAAGAGCCATGGTCCAGGTCCTGAGTTCAAAGCCCAGCACTGACATGAAACAACTCCAACCAATAATAAAAGCAAACTGTGAATAAATCCGATAACATTACGGAGTAAGTCACGAGCACAAAGCACAGGCGTGGCATACCTAGAGATGAGGTGGCCACTGAGAAATGAGCAAATCAGCAATAGTTGCCTAGAAGAGAACAGGATGCTAGATGGAGGGCCAGGGTGTTCCCTGGTCCTCCTATTTTGGTCCTAATCTGATTACCGGAGATACATCTTTAGTGAGTGGCCGCAGCTCTGGGCTCGGTCTTTGCTGCTCTGTGCCCCATCGGTCTGGAGCTGGGCTGTGACGCAGATCGGCCGTCTGCCCTGTGGTCATGTCCTGGAGGCGAGCTTTAATTCCTGAGGAGGAATGTGGGTGGAAAAGAAGGGTCTGTCCTGCCATCCTGCCCCTCCATGAAAGCTTCTTTGTGCTGGGGCAGAGGTCAGCTCAGATCTTTCTCCTTGTAGACTGCGCCCCTGGGGAGCCGTGGAGATCAAAGTCCTGAGCATGCATTGACTTCTTTGGTCTTGTCCAAAGCCAAGGGATTAGCTTTTGATCAGATCTTGCTGTTTGGGAATAAGTGTAAAACGATGTTTTCCTGTGTCTATCTAAAGATGTTAAAATGTGACGACATTTTTGGTTAAATTCTTCTTGTTCCTAGCATTAAAAATGAAAACGCATTACACTGTGGCCAGGCTCTGGCGGCTCCGACAGCCACCTCAGTGGCAGCAGTGCGGAGGCAGAGGTCTGAGGATCACAGATCAAAGCCAGCCTGGGCAGAAAGGTCTATGAGATTCTAGTCTCCATGTAGCCACCAAGAAGCTGGAAGTGGAGCTGTGGCTCATGTAAGAAAGCACTAGCCATGAGCAAAAACAGCTCAGGGACAAGCCCAGGCCTGAGTTCATTCGAGCCCTAGGTCCAGTGCGTGCACACATACACGTATAATACATTCTTTTTTTTTTGGGGGGGTCCGGTTGTGGGGCCTGAACTCTGGGCCTGGGTGCTGTCCCTCAGCTCTTCAGCTCAAGGCTAGTGCTCTACCAATTGAGCCACAGTGACTTCCGGGTTTTTTTTTTTTGCTTATGTGGTGCTGAGGAATCGAACCCAGGGCCTCATGCACGCAAGGCAAGCACTTTACCACTGAGCCACCTTCCCAGCCCACATATATAATACATTCTATATACACATACACTACATGTATGATATATGAGACACACCTTACATGTATCATATATAATATGATATGTAATGTATGGTGTATGTTTGTGTACCACATCAAGTACTCAGTTTCCACCACTAGTTAAGCCCTGCTTTCCCCCCTTTCTCTTGCTCTGAATTTGGGTTTGAACTCAAAGCTTCGCACCTGCTCTACGGGCGCTCTGCTTCTTGAGCCAGGCTCTGTTGGCTTTGGCTATGGTTTCTACTCTTTGTGCGGGTGTCAGAGTTGAACTTGCGGCTCTGCGGGCTCCCTGGTGTTTCTGCTCGGGATAGCACTCTCCAGTGGAGCATAGCTCTACCTCCATGCTTTCTGGTGCTTTCTGTGTTGACTGGGGTAAGAATGCCAGGCCCAGCCGACCAAGCTGGCCTCCACCAAGTCCTCAGGCCCAGGCCTCTGCAGAGGCTGGGACCGCAGGCCGTAAGGCACCGGCTGGCGTCAGATAAGAGGCCGGGCCTGGCTGTCTGCTCCGGCCCTGAGCCCTCGGGTCCCCCAAGATTCCAGAGTCCCCCAGCCCCCTAGACCCCCACCCAGCCCCCGAGGCCCCGCGCCCCCTGCGCCTGTGCTCCCGCCCTGCCGTCCTCCAGACCCCGTGCTGGCTGTATGGTACTGAACACCCGGCTGCATTACTAACAGTGACAAGACAAAATTCTAGTCCTGGAGGAGCTTGTTCCCAAGTTCCTGGGCCAAGCAGGGAGAATTTCCTGGGTTGGGTGGAAATGGGGGAAATGGATCAGGCATGGAGATGGGGTCAGGGGTGGAGATGGGGGTCAGAGGTGGAGATGGGGGTCAGGGGTGGAGATGGGGGTCAGGGGAGGAGATGGGGTCAGGCGTGGAGATGGGGTCGGGGTGGAGATGGGGTTAGGGATGGAGATGGGGGTCAGGGGAGGAGATAGAGACCAGGGGTGGAGATCTTCTGGGTAAGGTGGAGATGTCCCAGGTCAGGGTGATGTTCCAGGGTCAAGGGTGATGTTTCCAGGTCAGATGGAGATGTCCTGGGTCAGGTGGAGATAGGGGTCAGGGGTGGAGATGTTCAGGGCCAGGTGGAGATGTCCAGAGGTCAGAGGTGATCTTCTCAGGTCAGGTGAAGATGTTCCAGGTCAGGGTGGAGATGTCCCGGGTCAGGGTTGATATTCTGGGTCAGGGGTGGAGATGGGGGTTAGGTGGAGATGGGGGACAGGCATGTAGATGTCCCGGGTCAGGTGGAGATGTCCCAGGTCAGGGGTGATGTTTCAGGGTCAGGTGGAGATGTCCCGGGGTCAGGGGTGATGTTCCTGTCAGGCAGAGATGTTCCAGGTCAGGGGTGGAGATGTCCTGGGTCAGGGGTGATGTTCCAGGTCAGGGGTGGAGATGGGGGTCAGGTGGAGATGTTCTGGGGTCAGGTGGAGATGTCTCGGGTCAGGGGTGATGTTCCTGTGTCAGGTGGAGATGTTCCAGGTCACAGGTGGAGATGTCCTGGGTCAGGGATGATGTTCTGGGTTAGGGGTGGAGATGGGGGTCAGGTGGAGATGTCTTGGGTCAGGGGTGATGTTCCAGGGTCAGGTGGAGGTGTCCGGGGTCAGGTGGAGAAGTCCTGGCCCTGTTTCAGTACTCTCCCCATTTCATCTGGAGACAGAAACTTGAGTAGGTGACAGACAAGCACCTCTGTGATGTCACTGAGCCGCAGAGCGGGATGGATATTTAAAGGAACTGTATATGTGTAATGAAGTGACCTTGTGCAAGGCCTCGGGTTCCAGGAAAAGGATTTACTTCTCCAGGAAATAGGAAAGCTTCTGTCTTCATTGTTCTTCGTTGGCATTTTCAATAAACATTTCACAAATAAATTATTTCCAAGCTTCAGTCTAGTTACAGGGTTCTGTGTAGTGGCCTTCAAGTACATGTATTATGGTGACAGGACATAGATGTATTTGAGTACTGAGGGTTTTTTATTAGCATACATTAGTGGGTACATGTGAGGTTCAAAGGACTTTTCCACACCTGCATACAACATAACCCCATAAAATTCACTCCCTATTGCTCTTCCTGAGAACCTACCCCCTCTCAATGTCAACAGGTCTGTCCAATCGCTCTGTCTTCAATCATGTAAACAAACCACATTCATCTTCTGCTGAACATTTTTGACCTGCATACTACAAATTTGGATATGATTTCTCACTCTCAACTCTCTTAGTACTTTATGTCTGCCTTGTTTGTTGCAGGTTTGCATTTTCTTTTTATGTTATAGTTATGTGCGTTGTCATGTGTTCTTTTTTCTTACAAACGTGAAGGGAAGCTGGGTCCACACCGGACTATCTCCGTGTACTTTGCTATATAGAAGCACCTGAAGACATAATTGAATTGATGGTTTAATAACTATCTACTTAATGAAATTCTATAAAAATGGCTTAAGTTGCGTAGTGGTTTTTTATCTAGACTACACCCCTGGAATGACTGATGTTAATACTTGGATAGTCAATTTCCAACTTAGTTGTATGCTAGATAGGACCCACAGGATGTCATATTTGTTATATTTTATTATGGTAGTGATACGTATTTGCTGTAGAAACTTTATGTTATGGATTAAAAAATGGAGAAATTGGAATCCCTATAGCTCTAACAGTTACTTTGTGGAGTGATTTATGATTTAATTTATTAAACTTTTAACATATGCAGCTAAGCCAGGTTTTGAAGGCTGGAGTTATTTTTCACCCACGGTGTGTTGAGACTGGCTTTCCCATGTATAAAACTGAGGGATGGCTCTTCATGAACGTGCATTTGTGCACACCAACTAAATCGACTGGGTTCCCTGCATACTGACCTCCATTTCCTCCTGCACTGAAGGTGCTCCTGTTTATTCTGACCTCTCATTTACTTCAAGCACTGACGGTACTGCTACTTAGTCCTGACCTCTCATTTCCTCCTGCACTGATGGTGCTCCTGCTTAGTTTCAACATCTCATTTCCTTCATGCACTGATGGTGCTGTTGCTTAGTTCTGACCTCTCATCTTCCTGCACTGACGATGCTCCTGCTTAGCTCTGACCTCTCCTTTCCTGGTGCATCAATCACACTCCTCCTGTGCACGTTCCTCTTGTGCTGCTGCTTCAACTGATTTGAGAACTCATCACATCAACACCCAGCTTTGCCGTCCCATGCTGCTCTGCACTTCCTTCCCGTGTCCATGACCTGGAGGCGGGGTGACATCACAGACTTTGGGTTGACATGCTGGGTGATGCCATAGACCTGGGGAGACACACGGCATGGCATGATGCCACAGACCGGGAGTGTCACGGGGAGTGATATCATAGATGTGAGATGACATGTGGGTGATGTCACAGACCTGGGATGACATGCAAAGTGACACCACAGGCCTGGGATGACATGCGAAGTGATGCCACAGGCCTGGCCAGCACTTGGAGTGAAGTCAGGGGCGTGGTTTGTGTCGCCCTGCCTTCCCCCTCCTCCTCCCCTCCGGAGCCAGCAGTGGAGGCCGGGATTCCCGCTCCCCGTGGAGGCTCAGGAGACCAGGGACCAAGGCCTTGGATGCCCTGCAGCGCCCTCTAGGAATGGCCGGTCCCAAGAGGCCAAGGAGCGGCTTGGGGAGAGGCATGGGGAACAGACAGGGAGTGGTCCCCAGCGGCCCTGGAGGCTGCAGCTCCAGCCATTCCTCTGAGCCAAGGCCTCCTGCAGGCCGCAAGGACTGTGCTCTCAAGCGTCTGGAAGATGCCCCGGCCGCCGCGGCCTCGCTGAGCAAGAACCGGCACGCTATGGGCACGCGGGACATGCCAGGCGCACGCAGGATGCGGGCACTAGGGGTCAGAAGGATCAGAGGGAACAGCAGCAGCAGGGCCCCGGGAGAGCGCCCCAACCCGGCCCTGAACCACGCCCCCTGCACCCCACCCTGCGCCCCACCCCTCCTCTTCCCCCCCCCCGCCCCTTCCTGCACCCTGAGCCCCGGCCTGCCCCCCCTGCCCTGGGCTCCTCGCACCACCCTGCACCCCGCCCTGCACCCCGCATCCCGCCCTGCGCCCAGCACCTCCAGCCCCCGCCAGTGCGCATAGCCCGGGGTTAACTTCGCCTTCGCGGCGCGTCAGCGCGAGCTCTGAAATCTTTAGAAAAGGTAAATATTCCCACGCACAGGCCCGCACGCGCGCACAGCACACTCGCACACCCAGCACACGCGCACACAGCACATCCACACCTGCACACAGCACACGCAAACACCTGCATACGCCCGCACGCGCAGCACACGCGAACACATCACACCTGTACACGCCCGCACGCGCACACAGCACCCGTGCACACAGCACACGCATCCACCTGCACGCGCACACAGAACACGCGCACACGCCGAGCTGGCCACGAGGGGCCCTGCTGTTGCGGGAAGGGGAAGCCAGGCCCGTTCTCTATTTCTTGTGGCTTCTCCGCATCCCCCGCCCCGCCCTGCGCCGCCAGACCTCCGCCAGGAAGGAAAAGGGACTCCTGACTCCGCTTCAACTCAGCAAGGGGTCGGCGAGGCAGGGCCGGGGGAGCCCCAGGAAGGCATAATGGCAGTCATCAAGGTGGCTGGGGCGACACCCCCAACCGCGAGCACCGTGCGCCGCGCTGCCACCGAGGTCGGGTCACCGAGAGTGGAGCGCGTCAAGTACACGATCACTTGTTCTCGCGCGGAGTGCTCATTCTCCGACACACGCTACGTGGGTCAGGAAAGTCCTGCAGCACAGCAAGGAGACCTTGAGCTGAACACGAATGTGCGCTCGTTTTGAGTGTCTTTAAAATGTTTGGGAAGACGTGCAGATATGCAGACCTGCAGGTATGCAGATCGCGGATGTGCAGACTTGCAGATATGCAGACGTGCAGACATGCAGACGTGCAGGTATGCAGATTGCAGATGGGCAGGTATGCAGATATGCAGATATTCCCTCATAATAAACATGCGCACGCTAGGCACACGACGGAAACCACACTTGAAGTAGCACTGATTTCCAACGCACGGAAACACGTTGGTGGAGAAGCAAAGCTGGGGCTTTAGTCCAGCTCACTTTTTAATTCAGCAATTGATTAACGAGGCAGACCATCCATGCCAGAAGAATTCTGAGGTGGCGGCCGCGTTAGGAAATCAGACGCGATCGCTCATAAGGCAGTGAGGCCGCGATTCAGGGCTTTCGAGGGCTTCGGACCCCGGGACTCACTGGACGCTCTCCTCCTCCTTCCCCCCTACTTCCTCTTCTTCCCTCCTCCCTCCCACTCCTTCCCTCATACTTCCCTGCCCCCCTCCTCCTCCCTCCTCCGCCTCTTTCCACCACCAGCAGAAAATGAGTGCGGGAGTCCTCTGGAAGGAAGCCACCAGCTGGTGTCGAGGCCCAGGGAAGTGACTCTGGCTCGCGCGGCGGAGATAGGAACTCGGGCTGTCCTCGGCAGGCGGGGCCGCACCCCATGCCCGCTCCGGGCATAGGCGCCCTCCTCAGCCCCTTTCCCGCGCCCAGCCCCCCGCTGTGCGTCCAGTTCCCCCGGCCGTGCGCCCAGTCCCACGCCCCGCCCGCGCCCGCTGGCCCGCCCCGTGCCTCGGCTCCTTCTCGAGGTCTGGGGACTTCGTCTTCATTAGCCAGGAGCCGGCGTGACGGGTCCTCCGCAGACTGAGTCCCAACGGAGCAGAGCTGTGCTGGAAAACTTCCCGGAAGTGCTACTTCCGATCGTTACACTGTGCCCCGCCCGCGGGCACGGCGGACCCGAGCCATACGCTGACCAGGGGGGCACGCGCGTCCGCACACGCACACTGTACAAGCACCGGCCACGCGTGTCCTCGGGTCTGCACACGCGCACATCACAACCTCGCGGACTCGCGTGTCCTCGGGTCTGTCTGCACACACACATCACAACCCCACGGACCCGCGTGTCCCTCGGGTATGTCTGCACACGCCCCTCCGGTGGAGATCCGCAGAAAATGTCTTTAGTAACTGAACGATCTCCGAGTTCAAATCCACGATCCGCAGCCCGGTACACAGAGAAAGTGTGGACGTCACGCGCTGGTGTGCAGACCAGTGCGCGCGCGCGCGCGGGCCCGGCAGGAGCGGGGAGGGGAAAAGAGGGGGGAGGAAAGGGAGGGAGAGGATGGGGGA